AGGCTTGAGCCACCGCGCCCGGCCTTTGGACAATCTTCATGCGACATCACCAACAGGTTAACAAAGCCTTTAAAGCTCATAGTGATCGGAACCTGCAAACACGCCACTAGAACTTAGCGAAGTTGATCAACCTGTGATTGTGTTGCCTACCACTTAAGATGTGTATGCTGCCTGTTGCATAGGTCTTGCTTCAATTCCAAGAGCAAACTTTCACTTTGGGAGGTACTGTGTCAGTTACTATCACAATGTTCATTGCTACTTTTGATCAACTTTATACCCTCGTTCCAGAGCTTAAAGAATTCACTACTCCAGACAGATCAATCATGGGAAAAGAGGGTCAAAATGCTCCATGGTTCATGGCTGACTGGAACAAAACGAGCAACTTCAACACAAGTGCAAAGTCGCTAAAGCTGTCTTCTGATATATTACATTGTGTGCAAGCTGAGTGGCAATCCAAAGCAACAAATCACCAAAAGCTTTAATGCTCTACTATCTGCTGTCAGGTCTGGAGGTGTCTCTGTCAGTTGATCTAGATCCTGCGCTTGACTTTAAAGAGGCTGCATCATGGTTAGCATGCAAAGGCCTTGACATCAAAATCACATACTTTTGTTTTAAACTTGATGCTGACCCAAGCCTAGGGATGACCCCGTGTGCCTTTATAAGCCAATTTAAACTCATTGCCACATTTTCTGAAATGACACCATATGTGATAATGCATAGGTTCACTGAGGAAGGTTTCAACCATGCAGCTTTGTTGCCTGGAGTAGGTCGTGACATCGTGAGGTTCCTGAGGGTTGGAAGACGCCTGACTGAGGAACATGGTGAGGAACTGTTTCCTTTCCTCAAAGTATTTAGGCTACGAGGATGTGAGGAATTATCACCCACTAAGTCCCCAAACCTCTGCATGGCTGTAAATGCATGCAGATGGAAACTGGACACGTCATTCAGGGACTATCAATCAACCAAGGAATCTTTGTCAACACTGCCAGATCATGATATTGATAAAGCAGTCTCAAAGCCACACCTCAAAAAGGCACTTATAAGCAAAGAGGATGAAGATGGATTACAAACTACATACAACCTAACCAGAGAGGAGATCAAGGTAGCTGTAACACCCAAGCCAGGCAATGAGCAAGTGGGGATTCTATCAAGGCTTCTTGAGGCGACAGAGGGAAGAGAGTGCATGCAAACAAAGGAAAAAAAAAAAAGTTAACTCCTCATGGCTTACATTTCAGTTCCAGGTAGTGACTAACAGGTTTAGGTACCAATTAATCAAGTTTTCTGTGAGGATGGGTACTTAAATTCTTTTGGTTGAAAGCTATATATATATATATATAAATAAATAAATAAAATTCAAGCTAGCTTAAGAAATAAACGCTGGTAGGTCACTGGTTCCCACAACAGTGAAGGACCCTACTGGCTATCATCAGGACTCTTGCCGCCTCTCAACCCTTATCAGTTTCTGCCTGGCTCCCTTCTTTCAGTTTTCTACTGACACAGGCATTCTCCACCAGCCAAAGATGTTTTTCTGTGATTCAGTGTTCCAAAAGTGCTGGGATTGCAGGTATGAACCACCATGCCCAGCCTGAAAGCTTTCCAATAGTGAAATTAAGAGAGCAGACTGACCTACTAACAGAGCTTATGCTGAAACATTTGGCCAAATTCAGTAGTGCCTTAAACATCTCAATGGAACAAACAAAGTCAAGTAAAAATTAGCAGTTAAGTTAAAGCTATCATTCCACTTGATTTGGCTAGTAATAAATATTTGTGGCCCCTTCAGCTACAAGTTGGGAACAATCTCAAGGTGTTTTGAAAAAAGGTTAAGTGACGCAGTGGCAAGCACCAGTTTTGGTGTCAGTGGTGACTCTGTACCTCTGGCTCCTCCTCTTAAAAGCTAGTGTATGAGATTGTGCTCCATAACTGGGCATTGTAATCCCTGTTCTGCTTCCCTTAATAGGTAATTATGTTCAAATAACAATGTGTAAAAGTCCAAAGGATTATCATTAGTAAAGTTTCTGAGAGTAAAAGTTCTTATGAGAAACCAAGAAATTGCCTCAAACTAGATATTAGTATAATAATCATCTTACAGTTTAAGAAAAAAAAAAAAACAATAGTCACCAGAATTAAGTTCTTTATTCCTCTTTGTTGTTTCAAAGAATGATGGTAGTTTTCATAGTACAGAGTATTTCTGGCGCTCAGTATCACAAAGCCAAGACATAGTCAGAACACATCGAGCCTCAGCAACTCCCTTAGAAGCCTGGAAAAGTTGTAACTACAGAAAATTCAATTGGGGACAAAGGGAAAATACCAGTGAAGTGAGAACCCCAAATCAAGGCTTGGCTTGATTAGGCTGCCCACTCTTCTCGAATAGGCCATAAATTTTCCCCACTGCACCTTTTGGGCTGTGATCCTTGGGAAAGCCAGGGACAACCAAGCTTAAGCCAGAGAAAGGCCCATCCCAGGAAGTGTATAACTGACCTGGAAGCAGGCCAGAACAGAGAATACACATTGAGGGTGAGTGTTCAGCAGGTTTTGAATGCTACACAATCTACAAAGGGATGCAACATCCTTCTCCCTAAAGCGGAACTGTCCCTGGCCTTCTCAATTAGCTCCAGAGGCCAAGGATCGTTGACTCATTCATTCATTCAGTGTATCTTTACTGCTGGCTACTCTGTTTCAGGCCCTATGCTGGGTGCAGAGGACAAAGAGAGGAATCAGACATAGTCCTTACCTTCAGAGAATTCAGAATACGATAGAAAAAAAGCTTATACTTTTAGATAAGCCACTGTGATTCAAGGTAAAAAGGACACAGTGAGGAGTCAGTCAAGGAGTTCACAGCCTAGCAGAGGCCTAGAGGGCACAACATAGACAATAATACATGGCAGCCTATGGTAAGGACCAAAGGGAGGCCCAGACTGTGAATTCTGGCACCGCAGAGACGGATGCGTGGCCTACTGAAGAGGTGGATTATGGCCTACTCGAGAAGAGTGAGAAGCCTAATCTGGTGAAAGTGAGGTATCAATTTCTACTGCCCTGGGGAGGAGGCTGTGCAGCCTCAGGTTGACCTTTGTGGGTCCTTTGGGCTACCCAACAGGCAGAGTGAAAAACCTCTTACCCATGGCTGAAGCTACTTGACGTCCTGTGAATATCTGAGGGGAGACTGGTGACCAGGGGAAACAAGTCCAAATTAAGTACCCAGACAATGGCCTAAGGTGAATAGTGAGAACATGAACACAGCCAGTAGGCTGTGTCGGCAGGAGGCTGGCCTGGGTATACACCAGCAGCAGGAGGCCCCTACCCATGCTTCCTGCACTCTGTGTTGGGCCATGTGTGCTGGAAGGATCCATTCTAAGAGTCCAAGGGACAGGAAGGGGGCTCCTGAGGGCAAAGGACTGAGGCCTATGTAGTCCTCTCTACATGCCTGTAGACAGGCTACCTGTCTGTTTTCCTCTTTTCTTCACAGCTGCTACCACCTGCCCTGTCTTTTCCACCCTGTCAATCTGAGTGGCTGAAATGGGTTCACTTAGGGTACCAGTATCATGGAATAGCTCCCAGGTTGGGTAATGGGCACAGAGTTGGAGTGTCTATAGCTGTCTTTGTTGGTCATCTGGAACTTGGACAAGTTAAGCCAGCTTAAAGTTGCAGTGTTGGGTTAGGACCTTCTCCACAAGCTAAGTGCCAGCCTGTGCAGGTCTCTCTTCCTTTCCACAGGTTTCAGGGAACAGCTCCAGCCTGTTGTCATTTCTTCTTCACAGCAGCTACCACCTACATCATCTCTCCAGCCTAGGCCTCGTGTCTGTGACACTTTTTCTTCCTAAGGTGCCAGGACTCTTCTGATCTGTTCTTTTTCTTCACAGTTGCCATCACCCACTCTGCTCCTCTCTCAAGTCCTTATTCTGGATTTCCCCTGTTCCCAATTCCCTTTTCTTACTATTCCTGAGATAAACACATAGGCCTCCCCCAATTAAAGAGCTTCGATGCTAGTCATTAAAGAGAAAAAACATGAGGTAGGGGGAAGAAGTAAGAGGAGGGCAATTTAGAGATGGACCTCTTATGAGTACTGGTATTAGACATCTCTGGGTCACAATGGCACAGGACCAAGGTCCCTGCCTTGATTCCCTTCTTGAGTAGTACTAAAGAAGTTGATATTCTCATTCTTTTCATCCTTTAGCCCTGGTTGTAGGACTTGGCCATCCTCCCTATTCCTATCCACTTACAGTACAGTGCTCAGGAAAGCTTTGCTTAACAAGGAGTTTCTACCACTTAGGAGGGGGCTGCCCTTTTAATCCTCTCCCCTTCCCCAATTCCTCCCTGCACTAACCCTGCCCATCCCTAGACCACCACCACCCTCCACCTGTCAACTTGACAGAGGTTTTCCCTGACACTGGGCCTCATATAAGGAAGTAGAGTAAAGTGTGCATTATTTCACTCAACAGCTGGAAGGTCCTACATGTCAGGCTAAATGTAAACATCTTTACATTATAATAGGCAATAGGGAACCACAAATGATTTAGAGCCAAGGAATGGCAGTAGAAAGTACCTTGTATTAGGCACTCAAGAAATATTTAGATAAATGTATGCATGAGTGAATAAATAATTGTGTATTGGGAAGATTACCTTGGCAAAGGTAGGAGAGGCTAAGGGGATTTTTAAAAGCCACTCTAAGCCATGGCTTAAGCAATCTGCTAAAGTAGGTAAAGTTAATCTCAACTTTCATCCTGTAGGACTCTCTCTACCCAACTAGTGCAACAGTAACCCCTAGCCTCCTAGGCTATATTTCATGACTAAGACTTGTTCTCTGTGGTCATTATACAACACCAAATATATTTAGTTGATACCAGTTTAAGCATTAGCCTCCTAAAATAGGTACAAAAAATAAACCTCTCATGATAGAATTTCTGTTGCAAGAACAGGCTATGGGGGAAACAATCTAAGATAGGAACAACCAGCGTGGTATCATCTAAGAGACTCAGCATGGACTAAGTTCAGCATGAAAATCATTAGACAAAAAGGCATCCCTACTTCACAAGTAGTGATTTCCATGGGCCTATACAAATAGGCCTGATTCTGAGATTTGGGGGTCCAGAGATCTTCCTAATGGTGAAGATCTTCTCACAGGTAAAGGAGTAGCTGGGCCAGGACAATATCCTGAGAAAAAACAAAACAAAAAAAAACAAACCCAGAAGCCTGGACAAGCCTTGGACAGATGACTCCAGGCACATTGAAGATGCAACTAAGAAAATTACATCAGGAGCTACCGTCACCCCAACATATAGCCCAACATCTACAAACTCTCCCACCAGCTACATTTATTTTCTTGAATTTTCTCCCTCTTCTAGCCCCATAAACTGGTGAACTCCTTGAGGGCAGAGACTGTGGGAAATTCTGTCCAGTGTTTTAAAGTCCTAATCCATGTCCTTTTCCCATCGGGAACATCCTAATAAATGAACTTAAGCCCATCCTTCATCAGGGTAATGCCACCAGAAGCAATACACACTATTATCCAGTACTACTGGCACTGAGATTCTCATTGTCCTCCCTAGAAAATGATGTTTCTGGATGAGGAAGAGAAGGTAAACAGAACTACAAAGCTGTAGAAGGTAGGAGACTTCATGATTCTTCTGTTTTGCTTAATTCCTCTAGGATAGAGTGCCTACAGAGCTCTGACCATTATTAGAAGGGTGTGGATATTTTTGTTATTAAAAATGGAACAAATCATATAGATCTGGTCTTCCTTCCTGCCATGACACCTACCTGTAACCTCACACTTGGAAAAGGGGTAAGTCATGTGAAAAGATAAGTCCTCTGATTTCCATTTTGACATCAGAGTCTTCTATACAGCCAGGACTTACTGACCATGAAGGATGCAGGCACTATGCTTCTCCTAAGGATGAGAAGATAAGAAATCTTAGAACCAATACTCTCATTTTACAGATGGAAACCTGAGGTCCAGAGAGTTCAGGTGACACATCCAAGGTCCAAAAGCAAGCCAGTGGCAGAGCCAGAACCACGTCCTGGTCTTTGAACTCCTAGTTCAGTGCTCTTTCCACTGCAGTAGCTAAGGCAAAATTTTCATTTTGCTCTTTGGAGGGGGAGAAGTGAAAAAAGGTAGGGAACAGAATATTAAGTTTTTTGATTCTCTGTAGACTTCAGTAGCTTCTGTTAACCTGGCTGTAATTGCCATTTGCATCTATGGAAATTGGGTCCTAAGCCAATTAATTGCTTTTGAATTGGCTCGGGTTCCTACCAGGGCTGGTGCAGTGCCCCTGCAGGTGGCTCAGGATCTCCCGGTCTGTAAACAGGCGGAAGGCAATCTGCTCACACTCTCGCTTGGTCCCACATTCAAACAAACATCCAAACAAGCCCTCCTCCTCCAGAGCAGCCAGATCAGAGTAGCCACAGGGCCCACAGTGCAAGATCCAGGGGCGGGACCAGCAGGCAGCCTCCAAGGGGGTCTGGTTGAGATAGATACCTAGGTCAACCCTCCGTTTCCTACTGGTTGGGTGTGAGTACAAGAGCCATGATTCTGACGGTGTTCCAGCTTCCTCCTCCAGCCTCAGTGAACTGCCTGGAGAGCTCTGCTGAATGGTAGGTACATCTTTGCTATTAGAGTCCTGGCACCTATGCGGGATCTCCAGGGGCCGGAAACTTACCACACTCCCTTGGCAACCATGTGGGGGCTCGCAGAGCTGTTGACTCAGGGCCAGCCTCTGAAAGCCTTCACCATGGTCAGTGCTGAGAGCCTCTGCCCGGCACCTGTTTGGTGTCCGGGCACTGCAATATAGCACAGGGTGGCCAGCCCTCCCAGTCACCTCTGCCACTTCGCATTCTACTGTAACCATAGGCCTAATGAGTCTCCCATGGTGCCATGTGACTCCTAGGTCATCACTATAGATCATCAGAGAATGAGGCCTGGTTTTACATGGTAGTTGGAAGCAAAAGAACCAGGAAGGGATGTAGTAGGTATATGCAGGGATGACAAGTCTCCCTGACTGCAGCTGGATGCCATGACCTGGGCCCACAGCAAATGTGGCCCAGTGCTTCAGCTCTGAGCCAATGACCTCCTCAGTCAAGTCCCTCACCTCACTCCATGAACATCCAGCATCCTGACTGCAGATGAAGCAAAGGCGGGCAGCATTCCTGCCTGATACAATCTGTTGACGCTCTGTGACATGGCCCCGCACACAGATGAAGAACAGGAACACACAACCACTCTTCCGTTCCCATACAGGACAGGGGTTCATGGTCCGATGCCCAGGTAGTGTGGCTTCCATCAGTGGCTTCAGGGGCCCCCACTAGACAAGGAGAAGGGAGAAAGTAGGAGTGAGATACTAATAGGAAGGCGTGAAGCTCATTAAAAGTATTAGTATTTTTCATAAATAAGAAATGATATTGAAATCTATAAAATCATGAAGGCCTAACTACTCACTAAATTCTCAAATATTACAGGATAACTTACAAAGCTGGAAAGAGACAATGCTAAATGTTGTACAAGCTGTCTCCTCTGTCTGGAATGCTCTTCCTCATTTTATCTAGATTTCCAAATCATCCTCCATACCCAACTCAAAAGTCACCTCCTTTATAAAGCCTTCCATGAAACTCACTCTCCTCCCCTAATAAATTTATTGTATAACATTGTAACTTTTTGTGACTGTCTTCCTTTTCTAGACTATGAGCCTTTTGAGGGCTTATACTATTAGTTACCAATATTGATTCTCCAGCACCTGGTACATAATAGGAGCTAAATATTTTTACAACGAAAGAAAGAAAAAAAAGAAAAGGAAAGGAAAGAAAGAAAAGGAAGAGAAGAAAAGCAAGGCAGACAAATAGGGAAATTTTAGGCAAACAAAGGGAAATTTAAGACAAATTTTTTTCCTTCCTGTACTACACTGGGAAGGCAATTCATAACTTTTGTTGAAAGCTCAAGCATAGATTCAGAGACACCTAGTTCAAACCATGCTTTCATCACTTATTTTGTGACTATGGGCAAGTTGCTTAATCTTACTTTACCTCAATTTCTTCATCAGTTAAGTGGAAAGTTTAATAACATCCTCACAAAGGAGTTATTATAAGGATACAATGAGATAATGCCTAATCAGACATATTGCAAATAAAGAAAGATCTAATCTCCCTAACATATTTTCAAAACAATAGTAGAAATTGGTAAGACAATTTCCAGGAACCCAACAGAAATGGGCAAAGAGCAAGATCAGACAACTTACAAAAAGAGAAAAAAAAGTTCAGCTTCACTTATAAGAGAGAAATGCAAATTAAGACTAAACTGACAATGGCCAGGCACAGTGGCTCATGCTGTAATCGCAGCACGTTAGGATAGCTTGAGCCCAGGAGTTCGAGACCAGTCTGGGCAACATGGCAAAATCCCATCTCTAAAAATAAAAATAAAACAAAATAACTAAATTGATATAACTTTTACATCTGTCAAATTAGCAAAATCATAAAGCTTGACAGTACTGTGTTGGCAAATGTCAAGAAACTGGCACTTTCATATATGGATTGAAGTGCAAATAGTTCAACCTGTATGTAGGACATATATCAAAATTACAAACAACATTTATCCTTTCCCATCATGCCCAATTCTGGGAATTCATCCTAAGATATATCTGCTCATCAAATTAAGTATGTGTAAGATTATTCAAATGCAGCATTACTTGAAGTAGCAAAATACTACAAACAACTCAAATATTCATCAATAGAGGATGGGTGAAATAAACATGCAATACATGGGGTAAAACCTTTTTTCCATGTATAGTGATATGGAAAGATTTCCATAATTTTTTTTTTTTTTTTGAGATGGAGTCTCTCTTTCTGTCAACCAGGCTGCAGTGCAGTGGTGCAATCTCAGCTCACTGCAATCTCTGCCTCCCAGGTTCAAGCGGTTCTCATGCCTCAACCTCCTGAGTATCTGGGATTACAGGCTTGCACCATCACGTCCAGCTAATTTTTCTATTTTTAGTAGAGATGGGGTTTTGACATGTTGGCCAGGCTGGTTTGAAATTCCTGACCTCAGGTGATCCACCTGCCTTGGCCTCCCAAAATGCTGGGATTACAGGTGTGAGCCACCGCGCCCGGCCTGATTTTCATAATATATTCTTAAACAAAGAAAGCAAAACACACAATAGTGTATGTAGTATGCTACTTTTTGCATCAGAAATGTGGAGGAAAGGGACTTCTGGTTACAGCAAACTAAATAATTGGACCAATCCTTCCACTGAGAACTTGAAAAAATAGATAAAACATTTAAACAAAAGCAAAATATATGAAAGCACCAGAGAGCAGACAGCAAACATAAGAATGAAGAATTACACGCTAAGTTCATTCAGAGAGGTTGGCTGGTCCCTTTTCCCCTTAGGGCATCCTACTAATTCTCAAAGAAGTAACTGAAAGGCTGAGAATCTGAGCAAGTCATTTGACAACCTTATCGAGTAGGAGGACAAAACTTGAAGGCCTGGTAAACTGTCATGTAATTTGAGATGGAACCTTAAAGGGCCAAATCCAAGGAATAAGGATGGAACTGAGGCAGAACAGCCCTTAAAACCATCACTAGAGAAAACTGGCTGACATTATCTACTGAGGTAGAACGTACACATACCACATGAACCAGTAATTCCACTCCTAGCTACATACCCAACAAAATGTATGCCTGCAGTACCAAAAACATGTATAAGAATATTCATAGCAGTATAGTCTATACTTATAATAACTAACCCAAGTATCCAACAACAGTAAAATGGATCACTTAATTGTGGTATGTTCATACGACAGAATACTATGTAACAATGAAAAACAAATTAGGGTTACACACAACAATTTGGATAAATCTCAAGAATACTGAACAAAAAAAGCCAGACCAAAAGACTACATAGATTAAAAAAAGCAAAACTAAACTCTAGGGCTATAAATCAACTTAATATAATTAACTTCTCCTTTGGGAAGAAGGGCGGGGCCATAAGAGAAACTTCTCAGATGCTGACAACATTCTATTTCTTGGAATATTAGTTCTATATATGATGAGTCCACAAGTGTTGGCTTTGTCATAACTCACTGAGCTGACACTTAGGTTTTGTGCATTTCACATTTATGTTTTATGTTTTCTGCATATGTTATCACTTCACATTTTTAAAAGTTTTTAAATGGGCAATTAAGAGTACATACTTGTTTTGCTTTGCTTCTGTATGAAGTAGCACCGAAAAGATAACAAGAAATAATAGTGATTGCCTATAAGAGATAGGGGAATGGAAATGAGAAATATATCTTTTTATACTATTTTTATTTTTCAGCTATATGAAATGTATTAACTACCTAAAACAAAAAATAAATTTAAAAAATTAATTTCTTTTTTCTTTTTTTTGAGACGGAGTCTCGCTCTGTTGCCCAGGCTGGAGTGCAGTCGCCAGATCTCAGCTCACTGCAAGCTCCACCTCCCGAGTTTACGCCATTCTCCTGCCTCAGCCTCCCGAGTAGCTGGGACAACAGATGCCCGCCACCTCGCCCAGCTAGTTTTTTGTATTTTTTCTAGTATAGACAGGGTTTCACCGTGTTAGACAGGATGGTCTCGATCTCCTGACCTCGTGATCCGCCCATCTCGGCCTCCCAAAGTGCTGGGATTACAGGCTTGAGCCACCGCGTCCGGCCTAAAAAATTAATTTATGTATAAATAGACAAAACAGATTAAGCAGGCTCAGATCATAGACTCTCAGAGCCATTTGCCTGAGGCCAGGAGTTTGAGATCAACTTGGGCAACATAGTGGGTCCTTATCTCTACAAAGCATTTTTATTTTTATTTTTATTTTTTACATTATCTGGGCCTGGTGGTAAGTACCTGAAGTCCTATCTACTTGGGAGGCTGAGGCAGGAGAATCAATTAAGCCCAGGAGTTTGAGGCAGCAGTGAGCTATGATCAATCACTACACTCCCCTCTAGGTGACAGAGCAAGACCCTGTTTCAAAAACAAAAAAGAAAACTAAGCCATAATGGACCATAAGAGTTATCTAGTGCTAACTCCCATTCCACAGAAGAGACCCCTTGCAGTCTTCTGGATAAAAAACCATTCCGTCCTTGAACTACGCTAGTTCAAAAGGGAATTCAAGATCTCTGGGACAGCCCATTCTATACCAGAGTACCCTAAGCACACTAAACATGCCAGAGGTAAGTGATCAAGTCAGCTTACTTATTAAGCAGTCTAGTTTTTGGGAAGTCAGAAGTTTAGTCATCCTTAGTGGTTAAGAGGAGAAAATAATTTGAGCCAGATATATCTAACATATAGTTGACATGAAGGTGGAAGAAAGAGTAAACAAAGCATGAAAACCTTGGAATCTAAGATGATCTCAACTAGCTGGAGCAATGGGACATATAAATCAAGCTGAGGCTTGACAGAGGTAAAACACGTTGTGGCTTAAAAATGTGCATGGGGAAAACTGATTAAAGAACAAATGTAGGCCAGGTGCTGTGGCTTATGCCTATAATCCCAATACTTTGGGAGGCCGAGGTGGGTGGATCACTTGAGGTCAAGAGTTCGAGACCAGCCTGGTCAACATGGTGAAACCCTGTCTCTACTAAAAATACACACAAAAAAATGAGCCAGGCATGGTGGCACACGCTTGTAGTCCCAGCTACTTGGGAGGCTGTGGCAGGAGAATAGCTTTAACCCAGGAGGCAGAGGTTGCAGTGAGCCGAGATCGCGCCACTGCACTCCAGTCTGGGTGATGGAGTAAGACTCCATCTCCAAAA